AAGCTGGCTAATTGGAAGCAGCCACTTCCTGAGTTGTATTTACATCTTGGCTGCTGACATTAGTTCAGAATAAAGAGCTAATACATTAGCTCGGACATTCTTTTTTCCTATAAAATAGCATAATTTTGGCATGCACAGGATCTCCACAGAAGAGCAGCTCCCTTTGTGGAGGTCTCAAACAACAAAGCTTTAGCAGGGATTTGCAGTGTTGGCTACTCTAGGGATGGATGGATGGATGGATGGATGGATGGATGTGTGTGGGGTTTTGCTCTATTGGTTGCTATGCAGCTGTGAGCACTGAAGTGGGAGAATATTCCCTTTTCTCATGAAGAAGAGGCTGCGCTAACAGTCCTGTTGAATTGTTTTACATAGGAGGATGAAAAGAATTAAGTGGCCTCCTTCACAGAGGGGACCTTCCCTCTCTACCTTTATTGCCCTTTTGCTGCACAGGCAGGCACAAGAACCTCAGGCAGGCTTCAGTTTTTATGATAAAACACTGGGAAATCCCATGTCCTTGCCAGCCCCTGACTATTACAGGCCTTTTCACTGCAGTAATCTGCGTACCTTGTCTTCACCAGGCTCCACCAGGTACGTAATAACAGTGTGGATGCTGGGAGCCCTGGGATACAACCAGTCCAGAGCAGTAACAGTCATCTGTAGCACATTTTCCAGTGTGCAGATATGGTGGTAGGCTTTGCTGAATGCATGAGAAACTCCCTGTGAAAGCAGAATCCTCCAAATGAGCCAGACAGTTCCATATGATTTGGGGGAAAAAAAAGCTGAGGAAGTGTTCATGCAGCAAAATGAAGCAAAATGGTTGTAACAAGTTACTTTAATCAGAATTTCTAAGGCTGAAAAGTGACTGTGAAATACCCTTTATCAAATAAGGCTCTAAAGCTCCAGAGTATCCGAGTCACAGCCAAGTCCTAAACTAGACAAAGTTGTTTTTCGGTGGAAATAGCCAAACTGATTGGTAATGTTGGCTTGCTGCGCTCCCTGCTGCTCAGATGATGCATCCACAAGGAGGCTGATGCTACAGAGCATCCCAAAGAAATCCAGACTGCTGTTGCTTATCATAGTCCACCATGTAAAAAGTAACGTTTCATGCCACTTTATGGAAACAAAGACAAATATGAGGTTCAGAGCTTCAGGAAATAAAAGCTACTATTTTGGGGCTTTGCACTAAAGTCCAATTAATTTACTCGTCAGGAGAAGCTGAAGTAAATTATTGATGAAGTGATACCTGATAATCAATTACAGATAAGATGTTAATCAGTAAGATATTGATAAGGTGTTCTGCTCCCATCACTTTCACCATATACAGTAACAAGGGGCCCACAGTTCTTTTCTTAGTTGCACATCTTAAGTTTACTCAGAATGAACATGTAAAATTCATGTGGCCCCTACAGAGTTTTTTGAAGAGTAGTCTAACAAGATACTTTCTGATGGTGCTCACCTGATAGAAACTGATCTCATGGGTCAGAAAGATGGTTTTCTCACACTGGTCCCAAAGAGTGTCAAGTCCTAGAATGCCAAAGACTCTCCAGTGAGCATCGTGCAATGGCAGTACCAGGAGTGAACCTTTCCTTTCCTCCTCTGGGCGATCATAGTTCCAGAAGTGGATATTTCCATGGAGCTGAACTCTTGGAACATGGATTGGCTTTCCCTCTTCAACAACTGCAAAGCTGAACAATAAACTTATGAAGAGGTTTGTTCAGAGTAGCAGAAAACCTTTAGCAAAGCAATAAATACAGGAGCTTTGATCTCTCCCTGCTTTTTGTCATTAGAGAAAGAAGGTGTTAGCTCCTTATTCTGACCACACACAGAAATACCACATTTACCACTTGCATCCCAAAACCAGTGGTAATAAAATAAGGCACTTTTCATCCTTAGGACATTTAAAAAACTTCTACTAATGAATGTAATTAAAGAGAATACAGAAGCAAGAAGCAGTTACATTTAATAGGTTAGAAGAAGCAATAATTAAAGAAAGAGACAACTATATCTAGCTTTTGGAAATGGGAAGTAAAGAGGCATGAAAGCTGTTTGTAGTGTAAACACTAGGGAGGGAAAAGCATGGTTCTCAAAAAATATCCTGTGGATGTAAACTGGTGTAAGGGAATTAATTTTTAAAGAAGAAAATGTAAACCCAATAGCCTTCTGCTAAAGGATGAGATTTATTAGACTGTGAGCTAATCTCCCTGAGGAAAGGAGAGAAATCCCAAACAGAGCAGTTCTAAGCAGCCCATGCAAAGTGTAAGGGCATGTATACGAAAATGAATCATTCCACAGGGGTCCCTGAGGAGGATTTCCTCTCTCTCTATCAATCTCTGTTTCCAGTGCACCCCAAACACTGCCTGGTGCCCCTACATTCCAAATATTTTTGAGAAAAAGGAACAGTTACTTGCAGTTTTTCCTACCTTACTCCTTTCATGTCTTTGTAAAGTCTCTGGTTTAGAACATATGGAGCGTCATCTGCGGTACATGCCACATAGTGTAGGAGAATCTGTCCCCGCTCTGGTGAGAGCTGGTTCTCTTCCAAAAGGGCAATATATGCACTGATCTTCTTGTTATCCCCATGGGCTTCTGCATCCTAGCAACCAAATGTTTCCCATTACATTATGTACATTAGCCATTGGCCATTACACTTATTTCATGTACTTAACACTTGTCTCATTTTTGCTGAGGTGCTGTTCTGGGTCACTGATTTTGTATGTCACGCACCAACTGCATGACATGTGTGTGTCTATGCTGTGATCGCGTCTGACCGTTGCGCTCCATTACAAGCAAAAACACTTTGTATTTTGATTGGCAAGGAAAATGGATTTCATTTTCCTACTGCTAATAGGGAGCAGTTCCCATAAAAATAATCCCTAATTATAACCTGTGCCTAAGCAAAACTCCTATGGTTTTCTTCTCCAATAGGAGATTCCTTTGGAAAAACCAGACAAGTGCCAGAGTTGCTACATTTACAAACCTAAATATGGCATTGTGAGAGTACTCAGCTACCATGAGAGAAGTTGTGCTTTCAGGAGGGCTTTAATGGTGAGGACAAATGTCTAAAGTTGCAGCTGCAAGTCAAAAATTAAACTGTATCTCCACTACAAATTAACCATCTCTGTCCCAAACTGAGTCTGGTGTGTTTCATTTCAGAAGCTCTAAAACTAGACCTATGGATTTCCAAATCTGATCCAAGTCAACTCTTCAAAAAGTGAGACATAAGTATCCATGAAATGCATTCTGTATTGGCAGAGCATGGATGAGAATTCTTGTATTGCAGATCTGACCTCTGACTCTTTCTGTGCATAACCACAGGCTCTCCTGAGCATTGGCTAAGTGCAGAAAAGCACAAGCACACCAGCCTCAGACCAGCTTCCCATGCTCCCTGCTAGTTCCACTCTAATGCACCAGGGCTGGAGTCACTGACACAATCCCAACACAAACAATTCTTGTGCTCCCTGGGATGGGTACCTGGGAGAGGGCCTTAAACACTGCTTTGTAAACTGGTTCCATGCTTGCTCCGCTGGTCTCAGCTGCTTGCTGGATATTGTGCAGCCATTTCCTCCTGGCTAAGCTTTGCAGAGACTCCGTGTGACTTTGTTCCACGCTTCTGGTCAGGAATTCCACCAAGTTATCAATAGCTTCATCCTCATTGCCATTGAGCTCGGAAGCAACTAACTCAAGGAAAGTCTGGAATGCCTTTGGGGATAGCTTCCCCACCCCACTGAGCTGTGGGTAACGGGAGCAAAGGTGTTTCTTTGCTAGTAAAAGAAACAGAAAATAAACCAGGGACAGTCTATTAGAATAAAATGTTCTGCTTTTCTTGTGCAAAATATGAACCAAGCCTTAAACTGGCTTTGGGTGGAGTGCTCCAGTCCATCATTCTGGGTTTCTTCCAGCTAAATATAAATTGTCATCCTGACAGATAATCTAAATATAAATTGTCATCCTGACAGATAATCTCCAGCTTCAAGACTGGATGCACCTTTTCCTCTAGATGCCTTCATTCTCACCTGCTGAGAAAGAAACCTGCACAGCATTGCTCCTGTGCCCCTGTTGTTCCTCTGCAACTTACCTAAACAATAATAAAGGTCAATGGAAAATAGGAAAGCTACTTGGTGTTTTACTCTTTAATATTTTATATTAGTATTAATATTTCTTTTTATTATTATTATTTCATTAAATCTGCTTTCATTTCAACCCATGAGTCTCCTTTCCTATTCCCAATTCCCCTTCCCAGGTAAGGGAGGGGTCATGGGGTGATAGAACAGCTGATTAAATGAAGACAAAGGAGGAATGAGGAATGCCACAAGGGTCCAGTTACAATTCCCAAGAATTGCTTTCCTGTATCTACTCACTCTAGTTCACAAACTCCCAATTTGCCCAAAGGTCCTGAAGACAAATGGGACCCACCTCAGACTTGTAATCCGAGCAGATAAGAGCACAAAAATGGAAATTTACCCCATCGGTTTCTATTCAGAAGTTACTTAAACCAGCAGCCAGTGTAACATCCAAAGGTCCTGAAGACAAATGGGACTCACCTCAGACTTGTAATCCTAGCAGATAAGAGCACAAAAATGGAAATTTTGGTTTCTATTTAGAAGTTACTTAAACCAGCAGCCAGTGTAACAGCAGATAAGAGCACAAAAATGGAAATTTACCCCATCGGTTTCTATTCAGAAGTTACTTAAACCAGCAGCCAGTGTAACAGAGCAGCTCATCCCCTGTGCCAGTTCTTCCCAGACCCACAGCACAGCTCTGGGCTCACGGGGGTGCTCTTGCACAGACTGTGGAAGTTGCAAGCAGCATCCAGGAGCTGGGAACCCGGGAGTCCCTGGCTGCTCTGCACTGGCTGTGCTTGCCTGGTCATGCTCCTGGCAGTGCCTCTCCTGAGCTTTGCCATGACTAACAGTGTCATCATTTTTTCTGCATCCTGATTTCAAATCCTGTTGGACCCAAAGAAGTAAAGAAACGGAAGGAGCTATTCATCAGGCTGCCCTGATAGCAAACTCAGCAAGCAAAGATATATAGGTAGAATGACTTTGCTGTTAAGCAGAGAGTATTTTGTGATCAATACATACAGTGGTCTATAAGGAACAGTGTAATAGAAAATCCTCTGATTAATGATGCACAGGAACAGGCAGGGAGCTGCCCTGATTGCCTCCCAGTGCACCCAAGACACAGATGTTTATGGGAGCTGAGAGCTTCCTCCTTCCCCACAGAAGTCAGGGGGCATTTTATCACTGATTTTAGCTGTAGAAGTAGCAAATACTAACTGGCCCCAATCACAGTGGAGCTGACTATTAATGCTGTCTTATCCTGTCCATCATCTAAAGAACATTCAGTATGTTTTAATTTAATTTCTGATTTTCTGATAGAACTAGGATAGAGAATTTTTTGATGGTATAAAAATGTTTGGATTTTCACCTCCATTTTCTCCTCTCTTTGAAGTAAGAGATGAAGAAAGAAATACACACGAAGTTGAACATGGCATGATCAGTGCCTTCATTACCACAGCATAATGAATTATTTTCCCCATTATATCTGTAACATTACATTTTTCACTTACAAGGACAATTAAATAATTCTACCCACTTTTCATTCTGTGTTTTCATCCAGGGGGAGTGCAATGTCTGTGAACCCTTCCCCCAAACCTGCTTGTTCCATGATGTTTTTGAGAGATTAGGCTGAAGCTGCTAGAAAGTTTTATGGTGCTTGTAGGTGGTATTGATTTTGCTCTGCTGTCTTTCTATTTATTTGCCCTTTAGTTTATGAGCCCTTCATGGCAGGGACTATGTCCTTCCATATTTCTGTAGTGTGTTCTGGCATGCTTTTAATATAGGAGAGCTGTAGATTGCCAGTCTCTCCTGTGGCTGTGCAGCCTGGAGACAATTAACTGTAGCATGCTGGTGTGCTCCCCACCCCACCAGCTGCTTCAAGTGAGCTAAAGGATAAAGAGATTTTGGTGGTTTCCAAAATGAGCCATAGTCATGTGCAGCAGAACAAGCAACATGAAGATGAGCATGGAGATGAATAAACCAGGCCTCTCCACCCAAGCACACATGCAGACATGTTCTCAATTGCTAATACAGTATTTCACCTAATGCCCACGTGTTAATATGTATGAGGCTGCCAGACAGGTCCAGATGAACCTGCAGCACTTCTGTCTGACCCAAGTCTATTCTGTCAAGGACCAAATTTGCTAAGTTTATTTGGAGAAATGAACCAACAGAGGAAGTGAGGCTCGAAGTTGCTATCTAATTCATGAGAGCTATGCAACAGTGTGGATTACTACAGGCTATTTGAGACCCATAATAAGGAAAGCTGGTGTTCTCTCCTATGAGATATGTTCCTGCAGTTAGCACAGTAAAATGTATCTATTAAAAATAGCTGGATAACATAGACAGGCTAGACTAAAAGTGCAAACATGTCCTCAGGCTTTAAGTGTGTTTCTCACTGCCATATTACAAGTATACATTGCATGTTACAGCTGAAATAATTTTTCAACACATCACAATGTCATGAAAGCATTGGGCTACCTCTGTGCCTGGGAATCTGTCGCAGAGGATTCTCGCACAGGAGGAGGGGATGGAGCTATGCATTCACAAGTAGGTCTGGATAACTTCCTTTTCATTTTATACATCATAACATGTATGCTTATGACAGCTTGCAAAACCAAAAAACGCTTGCCAACAACTTCATTAGCACTGTCGTTGAATGGTTCAAGGCCTACTGTGTTGGCATTGTTCTCTCAGAGCAGAGCTGTTTCCTTACCCTCCCTCAAGGCTTCTTTTTCCATCCCATCCTTGAATGTGCTTAAAACAGCATCCACCTCTTCCAGGTCCAGAAACCCAGATGCATTGCTGTCCCACTTTTCAAAAAGTGCCTCCAGAAGCGGTTTCCGTTGGGCCAGACGAGAGATGCGGTGAACCTACAACAGAGAAACAGCGGTGAACCATATTGATCAGCTGACAGTTTCTTTGGTAATTCCTGGACACTGATGCTCAGTGTCTACACAAATATGGAGAATACAGTGTTTCTTATGGGTCAGGCCAAATCTAAATACACAGCTCAGACCTGGAGATGAACCATTAAACCTTGTAAACACTAAACACAGCCGACAGTTCATTTTTACCAGGCAGAATCAGCACTGTTGTTCACTGCAGTGAACAAACAAAGCTCATGCTGGATCTAAGGTGAGATCAACTCAGGTAAGTGCAAGTTTCCCAGAATACAAATGTCATCCCAGCAAGAACTAACCACAGCCTTGTTAGTAACACCCAAAGATGTGTTAGTTTGTATTTCTGTACATTGTTATTTTGCTGGTGCTGCCCTGAAGTGCATGGGCTCCAAGCAAATGCATGTACAATTTGTCCTTTAAACCCAGTTTTTGCACAGCACACAGTGATAAATGGCTGGAGTGGAATCCTCTCAAAGGCCAAAATACGGGCCGTGTGTGTTGTGTTCTGTGTGAGGACAGCAGAACCATCAGGTCCAACATCTCATCCAAATTAGGTCAGCAGCACAGAGGGAAACTAGAAAGAGTTCTGAGGAAGATGCAGCTAGAGAGGCTACTATGGACAGAGCCACCACAAAATGTACTCTGAAGTGATATGGGGCACCCTGATGCTGTGCATGAGGATATTGCTGAAGGGGAATATATATTTTTTCAACACATGGCAAGAGCACCTTGTAACTTAAACACAAAGAAGCATGTGCAGATGCACATACAGCCATACACAGCAAAATCAAACACACTTGTTTTAAAATCCTCCCCAAAACATTCACAACCTCATCTGTACATGCTGCAGTAGGTCAGAGATCAGGTTGTTGGCTATTATAAAGGTGAATAAGCAGAATGGAATGTTTTGAGCTCTTTCACAATTAACTATCAACATGCTGTCTCACCGAGTCCAGCTCTAGAACAGACAGACATCCTCTGACAGGATGAGTCTGTCATCACTTCTAGAGCTAAGGGCTAGGGAGGGAAGATCCATATGAAAACAAAGGGATACAAGGTTTCTTGAAAAAACAGAGATTGCAAGGCTGCAAGTGAACAGCTCTGCCAGCCTGAGATTAAGTTGACTTTGTCAGTGTCTGTAGGCATTTGCTTGTTTATTGTTTGGACATGGGATCAACAAAACTTATCAATATTTACCTTTTCTAGTTGGTCCATTTTTTCCTCTTCTGTCTGTTTGTATTCTTCTTTGATAAATGCAATAAGCCTCTTCACAGTAGGCAGAGAAATGTCTTCACCAACAAATGTCTCCATGAGCTGTACAAACTGTGGCAGGTTGAGGCAGCTTTCATCAAAGGCACTCCTAGTATGAGAAGCCCAGCGGTTCTGAATCTCTGCCATGCTGGGATATAAGTCTGAAAAGCAGAAAGCACAGTGTGTCACAGGAAGGCAAATGCTGCCCTAAAACCAGCCATGTGGCAGATATCAACGTAGTCCTGAACCCTGCACTTCCTATCCAGTGAAGGTACGTCTGGATATGGACTGATTCCGTGCTAAGGGCCTTAATCTGCTTATACTTCTCTAATAGTATCTCTTCAGAGTTATGCTCAACTAGCACAGATGCTGTCACAAAACCAGGTCAAATCACTGAATACAAGTGAGCTGAAATTACTGTTACACAGCAAATGGCCTTCCGAGACAAAGGTCTGATCTTGTAGGCAGCTTCAGGAATTAGTCTTTGTATTCTTACCCAAACTTTCAGCTCACAGCAGCACTGGCATGTCTGCAGCCATTATGTACCCAAGTGAACACACAACTTTGTGACCAAATACCTGGAAATCTAGTGTTCTCACATTTCCATTCCTCTGGAATTCTCGCTCCATAGCTGCTATACCTGCAACTTAGGTCACCAGTCAGAAGGTTAACTGATGAAAGATAAAATATACCTAGTAATGATATAAGCTTTTAAAAAAGACACAAGATACAGCTTTTCTAAAAGCCTTTAAATACATCTATCTAAGCTATAGTTTCTAAAGCAGATGAAAGAAAAGAGCTGACATGAGCAGTCACCTGACTATGGCACTTCAAACCCCTGGCTAGCTTTAGCTGGAGAATCCTGTCTGAGAGTGCTGGACCTGCAATTTTAAAAATAAATCTTCTGTGAACCAGAACTTACTAGTCTGAGCATGTAAAATCTACTTCTGTGTCTCTGAAGTTATCAGTGGCTGTATTTACTGTCTGGAAATACTGCTTCCTAAAATTCACCTGGGGAATGTTACATTTCTACAAACATCCTTTTTAGCAAAAGTAGTAAGATAAATTATTTTCCAAAACAGGTTCAAAATGATATTCAGACTTCTTGTTTCCATCCACCTTTCTCTCAGAGACCATTGTACCACCACACCATCATTTCTGCAAGAACAGAGTGGGAATCTGCTCTCAGGATGGAAGCACTGCATGCCCCAAACAATGCGGGATGTGCATCCAGGGACTGGCTGCATGACAGGTGAGTGCTGCGTACTGGAAGTTAACCACAGAAAGCTGTAGGTACCAGTGGGCTGTACCATCAGCTCTCCAGCCCTTTATGTAATAAGTCTGTCACTAGACTGCTCTGGCAAGGTAGACCCAGTTCTTGCAGTATTTTAGACTGTGAGGCACAGAAGTGTATTCACAGAGCATTAGCAAAGAAGTTGGTCCTTCTAGTACGTTGTCCTTAAGAAAGTACCTCTTATGAAACACACAGCTGCCCAACCACAGCCTTCCTAGAACAAAGGCCTTTGTATACAATTAAGAAGTATGGTAGTCCTTACACAAAAAGATTAAAATAAAAGGTTCTGCTATATGATCTCATAATATATCTCCCTATGGGGAATCACAGTCTAAAATTATTAAAAGTCCTTTCTATATTTAACATGCTCAGGCTCCTGTCTTGCTATACTATTACAGGGTGAAAAAGAACATAAATTTTCTCCTTATTACAAAAATGCTGCTGCTTCAGAAAGTCTCTACTTGAATTAAAGAGTCTGCTCAGTGTCTTGAATACAGATCACCAGCAAAGTGACTCACCTGCTGTCCTGTGAGAGGGACACACTCTGAAACCCTGACAGAAAATACCATGCTGAGATGGTTATGGCCTCATGTATTCAGGAATCACTCACACCAATAGTTTTGAAATGGATTAAAAACACACCTGCAGTTAAACCAGTCCAAATGTATATGTTGGGTAAGATTAAAGTCTGCCAGAATAAAGGAGAATGCTTTACCTTTACCTTGGTCTTGCAGAAGGTCCTCATCCTGCAGTCTTGTCTCTGAGCTTGTCTGTTGGCCAAATGGGCTGCCACGCTGCCTAGAAAAACTCTCTTTCCTTGCAGGAGTTTCTTTCACAACGTCTGCAAGTAGAGCATCCTGTTTTGAAGCAATGACATCCATGTCTGCCACAGTTTTGTCTTCTGAGGTCACGGTTGTAGCTTCAGGTGTTGGTCCTGAAATTGTGCTGGTTATCTCTGCAGTCCTGTTGTCCTCCTGACTATCTTGCCCTTCTGAACCAGGTTCTGTGTCTGAGATACGAGAATGTTCTTCCCTATTTGTTTCTGTATCAGGCTCTCTTCCTTGGCTAAATTCCTCTCTCTCCACCTGTTTTTCAGATCCAGATTCTCCATCTCTACTGAGGCCATACCCAGTAGAGGCTGATCCTTGGAACGCTTCCTCCTGCCTGTCTGCACTTGCAGATGTTTTGACATCTTCCTGGAAACTGGACTTCTCACTAGGTACAGTATCTCCATCCAAATCACTAGCTTCAAATTCAATGCTTTTCACCACTGACACAGTGTCCTCTCCTTCCTTTCTCACTTCAGCATCATTTGATTCTGCTGCTTGGTTTCCTTCCTTAGAAATTCCCCCAGTCTCAGCTTCACTCATGCCCATTTGTTCAAAATGACCTTCTCTGACACTAGTTTTCATTCTATATGTATATTGTTGATTATCATCTACAGCTTGATATGCTAAAATCTCACCCTCAGAAATTTCTCTTTGAGACAAGGCTAACTTCTCACTGAGTTCCTCACAAACTATCTGGTCATCAAAGCTTCCCCATAAATCCGCAAGCTCAGTCTCTTGCAGCTCAACTATTGGCCCTAAAATGGAAAAAAAATATTGATCAGCTGACAGTTTGCATTGGTTTTATGTTCTCTACTATTGCACAGGCAAATGTAAAAAAAAAATATATATATATATTCCCTGGCAAATACAAACTATCAGAAAGTACATTCTGCAAATATGCATCTCAGAAACACAAAACTTCCAGATAATGTCTTTGCCTGCAGAGAACTGCACTTGTTATTGTGGATTACACCATATTTCTTTTGAAATAAATACAATGTTTCATAATTCTCCATATTTATTAAGAAGGAAAGGTGTAATTTCCTTGCATTTGATCTTAGCAATTAATTAATATCCAATATCTTAAAAATATTTTACTTCCATGTACAAGATCCTCTGTGGTTTTTGTTTATCTTTCCATGTTCCTGGAGAAATTTTAGTATAAACACAAAACTAACTTCTAATATTGCCCAGCAAAAAAGAACAATTTTTTCAGGAAAAGTAGTCTTTCTTTAATTCTACTTCCAAAAAGTACTTCAGAATTTTGTAGGAAGGAAGAGTTTTGGATACTGAAGTATTTCTGAACATTGCATCACAGTTAGCAAAACATGTTTGCAAATTATGATGTGTAGGTCACAGCATTCATTTGGGTCGTTTTTTAGGCTCTGTCCATTTCTAGTAACACTTATAAACCACATATTAACTGTGCAACCTCATGTGACCTCCTAATGATTTCACCACAATTGAAACATCCCTTCTACTCACATTGTCTGGGGTTACAGAATCCCTTCTTAGCAATCCCTGGGCTTCTGTCATAGAAGTCTATCAGCAGAGCAAGTATTTTTTGTCTATCTAAGAGATCAACCTAGACAAAAAGATTAACATTATTGGGTTTTTCCTGTGGTTCTTGGGACTTCCATCAACATTTGCAGGACTACAAATTCACCATTAGCTAAGAATTACCTGTGACTGAAAATTATCCATTACCAGAACATCAGTACAAATTTCAAAGAAGTTAATTTATTTCATAGAGGCAAAAATTTCTTCTCTGGGCTTAGCTGGAACTCCTCATACATATTACTTTGCAAACACATCCTCTTGCATATTCTTGACAAATTACAGTTGGATGATTGTAACCACTTCTGCCAAAGGATTTCTTCATGTAAAGATCAAAGCTTCAACATTTCACACTTTCAGGACAGATATTGATTGCCTGACAGTACTATGGAAGAATCTGCACATATTTTGAACTGTGCTGTATTATATTAGTGACTGCACACTGGAGCTTGGTTTTGTGCCCCATCATTTCCTTTGAAGCATTATGTATTGGCAACTGCCTGGGAAAATAATCAGTCCAAAAATCTGAGCTATTATGACATCCTCCCTAATTTCCTTTAAAAATCCATACACATTCATCCACAGAGGTGAGAGAGGAATCAGTAGGTCCAGTGCAGAGGAACATGCAGAGTTTATTAAGTCCTCATTGCTCAGGGTGAGTGTATACAGACAATAAAACCAGGAAAAGGCAATGAAATGGGTTATTTCCAATCAGGAAATTGTGAGTTTAAAAAGTAAAGCAAATCTAAATGATTGCAAGTTTTCCATTTTATGATTAATTCCTGTTGTCATTATTTCAGTCCTGCCACCTTTGTAATCCCCCTCCCATTAGTGAAATACAATAATGAGAGAACAGATTTACTTCAATTCATTATTTGTAGCAAGTAGCCTTCCACCTGAATTATTGATTTACTTTTCACATTTTGCTCTTAAAGAGCACAAAATGTAAAATTGACCAAGCTTTTAATTCTTTGTGAACTTTTCCTGCCCTTAGGCTGAAGAAATCAAGGAAGAAGTTTGCTGCTCTTTTCTGGCAACGAGCTCAAGATGACTGCGTTGTTTACAATCTAAAACCATAAAAAATGGCATCAGAGTGAGGAACAGAGGATTTGAAAACTGAGAAATACCCATCACCTACTGGTAAAGTGCCTTCCACGGAGGCTAACTGAAAACTAAGTGAATACATCACGTATTCTGTTACTGCAACACCTGTCCTCTAAAGGGAATGGAAAGCTTTTTGCAAGTTCTGAGGAAAGGATCAGAACTGAAATGTAACCTGCTGCCCGGTCTGGTTTCAGTGTTTCAGACTCCTGTTACTTAATTCTTGCTGTTAAAAAAATGCTGGAAATTACAGCTGAATTTCAGCCATGTGTGGGTTTGGAACAACAAATGCCATCACATAATTCTGTCTCTAAACTTACAAGATATAGGTTGATTCCCAGTGTCTTCAGCTTCTTGACATTAATACACAATTATCTTGGATATTCCCATGCAAACACTTCTTTATGCTGTTTGCTTTTCAGTTGAATGTATCAGATTTGATTCTGCATCCATTTAGTAGATACAGAAACACAGAACATGTTTCTGAAGATGTTACCAGATCACTGTGTAATATGTGGATTCTCCATTCAGTATTTCCATTACACACACTTAATTTAGCCTTTAAATTTTCTCAGCTGTTACTTGTCACAATCTGTCTTCTGGTTGCCTTGAAGTTGGCAGCATTAATGCCAAGCTTTTTTTTTAATTAAAAAGGTAAATCAATGAATGAAGTGTTATTAAAAAGAAATTAAAATGTTTTTTTGAGATTCAGATACTTTTTGTCATGTTAAAATAATGTACTTGGAGGACTTGGATAACTCAGATTCTAGAAGAGTTTTTTTATGATTTAGATGAAGTAATTTTATTTTTATATATTGTTAAAAATAGTAAATTCCTTTTAAGAAATTACTGAATATTAATTACGGGTATATTTTCCACCTTGTTTTAACATTTCCAATTTATACAGATCTGCCATTCTACTAGAGGTGTCTGTTATTTTCTTTACAACTTACCTTGGGAGGAACATATCACAGCAAAGCTATCTATAGAAGAGAGGAGCATCACAACAGGAAAACCATTTCCAATGTCCTATACCCAGTTACACTGACTTTCTGGGTTCCTAATTTGCTAGAAAAGGTCATGTTTCTTTGTACTTTGTGTGTGACTGGGGAGGCTGATGAAAGATTCCTGCCCATCAGCCCTTCATACTGAGTCTTGTTGGCAGGACAGGTACAGCATCCACTATAAATAACAGCCGACCATCTGTGTTTGTACAACCGCCCAAAACTTGTCTCCACTTTTAACTAGTGCCAGCTTTAGTGGCTGGAGAGTTGAAACATGTTGACCCAATTTTCTTGTCACCTAGATATTGGCAGGTGATGATTCTCAGTTGTTTTCAGCAATGTTCTGTGATCTATGAGTAATTCCTTTAGCAACACAGACTAAACCAGACTTGCCATTTAATCAGTGATAGGTCAGTGTTTAACCGCTTGATTGTTTTTCTGGAAATGTGATGTGTGTATCTTGAACACCACCATATGCTTGTTAGAGGGCAAGATGGGAAGAGCAGACACAGGAAAGGTCATGAGAAAGCAGACTTTGTTGTTGCTGTACTGCAAGAAAGTAATCGGAAGTGTCTCAAACTTCATTAGTTTGAAAACTGATCTCTGACTAAATTCAGTTCCATTTTAAAATCTCGAGCTTAAAACATCCCTGAAAATGAAAACAGATACTGCTGTAATGTATAAAAGAAATTATACACCTGGGTGCAGAGAGACAATAAGCTTAAAATTCAGAGAGCTATTGCCTTTTTGGGCATTAGAACAGCAATTCAACTGTGTTCTGGTATTGTCTTGGAAAGTTTCTGCTTCACTGTATAGTCCAGGCTGTTCTTGCTGAGCTGCCATCCTTCTGGATGCATGCATTTGAAATCATAATAATGATCATGTGGATACCTTCTAATTTGACTGTAATTTAAACACTGCTTTCTCAGCTCCCTGGCCCTAATTGCAACTCAGGGAGGCAGCCAGCCACACTCACCATGCAGACTGGAATAACTGCCTGCTACCAAACAAATGTAAATTAGGAACTGAAACAACTGCTTTGCTGTGCTCTGCAGAATGAGTCCTACAGGTGATGGATCACATTCAAGCAGTAGAAGTCCTTGGGTTAGTTTGCATCTTTTATCTTCCCTGTGGGTACAGTGCAGGACTTAATAGAGCTATACAAAAGAAACCAGGTCAGGTTTAAAAGAACTGCATGGTCCACACTACAGTTTAGTGAACTCATTTTGCAGAGCAAGGGTACCTCAGAGGCAAGAAACAGCAACCATGTTTGTGCTCTGACCATTTATTTCTGGGCAGCGATGGCGTCTGTGCTGATAGCTGCTCACCCTTGTTATGTTGTGCTAGGGTTTTTGGCTCTTTGCCTCTGAGATTCCACTGGGATTAGTAGCATGGAGATGGTGATTACTGCCACAGAAATAATAGGAAGAAAGTCACATGAAAACATGAAAGAGAAAGAAGGGATCCTTTAAAAATGTATGGCAAAGATAGGACTCCGCTTTCTATATTACTCTACCCAGGAGGATCCATCATAGTTCTTCTTGATGGAGCAATAGGAAAATGAAATGTTTTCTAACTGAGTAGATACATTTCTTTCCTCATCCCTGGAAGAGCAGCTTGCCTGCTATTCTCTAAAACACACACACTGTTGAAACATGCTGTGTAATTCCATTCTCTTAGAGGTAATGACATTATTAGCATGACATTGTTGAGCACAGTTCATTCTGGGTAGGCACGCTGTAAACACCACGAGAGGAGTGCTGGATGGAATATATAACTTATCTGGGGGGAAAACTAAGATTATGGCAACCATTCACTATGTAGTAGCCAGCAACTGTCTAACAGAGGCTACTCATAATAAGTACCATGAGTTTTTAGAAATAGCTTATACCATTGATTCCTCAGCTCCTACTATTTAGTGGTTTTCTAATAAGTCTAGCTTTTTTTGTTTTGTTTTTTAAAATGAGATGCAGGTGTATCCAGAGGCAGATAGATAAAGTTTAGAGCTGCTGAAAACCAAATTATGGCTTTTGAGTTCCAGTTCCAACCCTGTAACTGACTCATTGTATTTTAATTTCCTGTCCATAAACTGTGGTTGAAGTTCACAGTACTTTTCTCAGGGAGGTTGTAAAGATAGATTATCTTACATTTTAAATTTAAACTATTATGAGAAAGTGTACAAATTAATGCAACATAAGAAATGTAATATATGGTACTATTGTAGTAATGGGTACATTTGTTAAGGTCAATCTATATCAGGTTATCTTTTCTGAAGTACAGCTGAATAGACAAATTAGCCCCTAAACACTCTGAACGTGCTGTGGGAACAACTAATGACCAGAAGTAGTAAAGTTTGTGGTTAATTACTTTGCCAGAATGATCAAACTTCAGCCCCAAGTCATCACATTAGGTCACTCAGTTTCTGATTAGCCACCATCTTATAGGCTATTGGCTATTTCTATGACTAAGAACTACAGCTATTGTCCTCTAAAATATTGCTGAGTGAGCACAAAGAGAGAATCTGGAGTCAAGAAGAAGGTGACAGTGACCCAGAGAAATACCAAACTGGAAGCATCATCATATTGAAATTAGATTGAGAGCTGCTTTGCCTACCTTTCCATAATCACAATCTCGGAAGAGATCAGTAAACATCTGCCTCCACATATCATGTCTTACTGCTTCTTGGAAGTCACCAGCACACTGGCAGAGATGCTTCAGGAGCTCTTGGAACATGTCATTTGAAAAATATTCTGAGTAGGAATGGACATACTGTGAGAGAAAGCAGTAGTGTAAATGGTTAGCTTTCTTCAAGTCTTTTGAACTCTTAAAAATCTATTGCATGCAATGAAATATATGTGAATTTGTAGTTTAATCTGCTAAGGTCACACAAACTGGATGCATGGATGTTCTGCTGCCTACTTTGTTCTTTCTTTCAGAAGCAGCAATATTCTCCAAGCAAGCCTGGGACACTGCTGTACTGCACACTGCACAAATGCATCTTGAACAGTTCCTTTCCTGGACCAGAGGTCACTTATCATGTTCAGTGGTTCAGAGATGCTGGATCAGAATCCCTCCTAGGAAATGTCATTGCTTAAACTAGGTTATCTCAGGGAGGACAGAAGACCTCCATGGTTTTCTGCAGCATTTGGTATTCCTGACTTTACTCCCGAGGTGGCATTTTAAGCCATTAGTTTTTGCAGAACTGACAGTCACTCAACTCTCCAATGCCACAAAATGACCATTGCCCACAATTTCAGTGTTTAGAGAACCAGTCTGGATACAATAAAAAAAAGGAAAGAACCTTTTGAAAATGAGCCTGCTGTCACCTAAGTCCTCTGGCACTGGGAATACTACTGACTTGAGATTTATTTGAAGTTCTAGCCTTGGAGACACTTTAACACTTTGGATTTATAGCCATGTGGTTTCTATGAGCAAAAGCAATATGGTTCTAAAAATGTGGTGTGCATGACATAAATAATAATGGCCATCAAAACAAACCACAATCCCAAAGCCTGTGCTGAATTATTGTAGCAGGTTTCTGGAGCCAGCCACCATAACATGCAGCCCATACAGTTAAAAGGAGGAATTTGCAAAACACAGAATGTTTCCCATTAGCCCATTTTTAGAGTATGGATTCCTGACATAAGTATCAGAACATCTTGGACTTGATGAAATGCCACACAGACATTAACAAACTGAAATATTAATATGTTATTGTTATTCATGTCTATATTGCATAATTTTCAAGTATATGGGACAAGTGGAGAAGAGAGGAAGAGCAGAAAAGCAGCAGCCAAGGGCCTGAGGGGTGGCTGGTGGGGAAGAAGAACTCCTAACGCAATATCTGCTTTTCTTGCGTTTCAGCATAAAACAAGAGGATGTGGGTGGGTTGGAGAGAAGGTGGCAGATCTGGGGCTACATGTATCTACTAGCTTTTCAGAGCTATTACAACCCAGAGCCCTGTGACAGATGAACCTAAAAGATGACAGCAGTTGGGAGGAGGCAGGTTGGACAAGCAGCTTGTTATTTTTTATGTCATCTTGATGACACATCCACAGGCTCGTGTATTAATCCTGCTGTCTAACAGCTCCACAGAAAATGTTTAGTAGCGTATGTTCGGCTGTGTGGGGTGGAGGAACTACTGTAGAGTCACAAGCTTTTCTTAGCTGATGTGTGTAAAGAACTCTACAGTGTAAAGTACTGTACACATAATAAGCATATATTTATTTATTAATAACTAAGAGATTTTTAAATCCATCAGAAGAAAGCTGGCACAGCTCCTTCTTGCTATCCAGTGTGAGACCTCACTGCAGATTGTGAACATATTATCATCAATAACAATGGAACTTTGCTTTTTGTTCCTGCCAATCTCAGTAGAAACTGAGGAAGCCACATGCAATCATGAAAAATAATCTCACCTTCAAAGCCTGATTCTGACCCTACAAAGGCAACGTGAGTGTTTGTTTCCCTTGGTGTCAGCAGCTTTGTGTCAGACTGCTGGGGGTTCTGCATGTTAGAGTACAGAGCCTGTGAAAGAAACTTTTAAGGGCTGGTCTCTGGGATTTAAACACTTTTAATACAAACGACCCCACGAGCTTTTCAAGAAAGATGTAAAAATTCAACAGCCACTGTTTTGCATGTCTGAAACCCAACAACAACGTGTGAGGCCTCTCAACTGAGTTTCTAACAGCCTCTAAGTAACCCAAAGCTGCACTGAATTCAAGGGGAAAAAAAGTACCATTTAATTTTAAGGTCCATTAAAAAGCAATGCTTTCCACATGTGAAAGGGCCTAGACCAGTGGGGAGAAAAATCACCTCTCTTTCTGGTTTTGGTGGATGATGCAAACCAATGAACAAAGGTAAATTGTAGCTGAGGATAAGAAACAGCCCTGTCCCAAGAGTGAGCCCTGTGATTATGGAAAAGTTCCCAAGGGAAGTGATCAAAGACTCATCATTTCATTAAATTATAACCAGAATGGAAAAAGCATCAGAGAATACTGAATATATTCTGAGAACAACATTGCACTGGCTGGTAAATCAGCTTGACAGCCCACATCTGTTGTACTTCTGATCTCTGTTGTCATATCTTTAATTGAATTAAAATAAAGAGTACACAAAATATATTTTAAAACATTTTTCTAATGCTAATGGAGCATGAATTAATTCAGTGCTTATACATGTACCATAGGGGTTATGGATTGATGCTTCCTTTCAGTGACAAAAACAATTCTCTAGGCTCTCATTATCTACCATAGTTTTCTTAATTAAATGCAGTTATTCTGAGGTTAAATTTAAAAATACCTCATTTCATGCTTAAAAAAGCCTTCAACAAGTTATCATAAAAATGCATCTCTGTGCAAAATACTGAACATGGGAGTCTCCTGAGAGCGAAGAAGGCACAAAAATCACACATGGTTGCTTGAAATTAGTCTCTGCACAGCTGCTTTATACTCTGGTTTTAATTATTGTAACAGCACCCACTAGCACTGCTGCAATTGAGGGTCTGTCATTATTTCTATTCTAAACATCCCTTTCCACAGGTTTAATTACCCAGCAATAAAATTTAGCTCTATCATAGGTAGAAATGTCTGGCAAAGTCTTGGCCTGGAGAGTTTTCCAGTAAATGTAGTTTGAACTGATTTGGTTATTTTCAAATTGATGAAGAGTAGAGTAGTGGGGTGAAACTCCCAACTACATTTATTGATTTTGGTGAGTTAAAAACACACTTTGGATGTTTCTCAATTACAGTTTTTGATTTTCAGCCTGGTTACTTCTCACACATTTATGACAGTTGTTGCAGTTTGGTTATGGCTCAGGTCAGCAGTAGTTCAGGGCAAATATGGTACAGCTTCTCATCTCAGTTCATCACTTGTTAGCTTCTTCTATGGTTAACAGAACTTAATCAGAAATAACAATACTTTGGGGACAGTACTAATTACCTTGGGCTAATGGTTCTATTGGGACATCAAACTTCCCTCGAGCAGCCAACGCAAAGTCTGAATTTACAGGTGATTCAGGACTTTGGCGTTCTAGAAAGGAACCAAGAGGGATGTCCTAAAACCCACAGCTTCCAAAGTAACTTCTCAGAGAGCAGCACAGGCTGCAGCTCTGGGGAAAGCAAAATACTTCCCCCTTGCTGGCCAGAATGGAAGCGTTGTGACAGCAGAGGATGGGTATGGACATAGAACATGAAATGACCTGGTATAAGCAGTTACCTGGGATGCTGGAGAAGTGAAGCCCTTCACTTACTTAACTGTCCCCAGGGAAATGCTACTGCTTTGTGATAACATCATATTCTGGATCAGATGCTCTTACTCCATTTCTCACCTCTGCGAGCTCATGTATGTTTACTTTTTCCCCCAATGTGTCTATGATTTCCAGCTTCCTGTCATAGAGTGCTAGTAAAAAACGAAGGGATATTGGTTTGCATCTTGTACACATTTTTTGCACACTGTTATGTTACATTAACTTTTCTCTCATGTTGGATTACATTTATTTGAGGTTATCCTACACAACAGCTGAAGCATCTGACTATAAGAGGCCATCTAAATCTGATTCTTACATATTTCTCTTGCTGATAATCTGCACTTACCTATTCAGAACTGTATGGTCATATTTATTCTTGACATATGTTGGTGCAAATTGCAATTATTTTAACAGTACTTATAACAAATTACATAAGGGAAGAAATTATTTTTGATTTAACAAACAGATAAAACAGCCTTAAAATTCTGGGGATATGGATTCTGCTTTGCAAGAGTGGAATCTGAAAGTTGGTAATTTTCCCGAGAAGCTCTGTGGGAATATCTTTAGTGATTATGATATTCAAAACTATCTTTTGGTCAGCTTCTGGGCTGCTATAATGGAACTGAGAAGTTATGTCAAATGTCTACACAGATTTCTGAATGAGGTCTTTGAGCACAGACATGCTATTTCTGTTGGGATTATTTTTTAATTCTTTCTTCTACAATATATCAGGAATAAAGAGAAAATTCATCATAGAATGAATTTACCTCTTGTTGCTTAAGACATTCCTAAACTGTACATTATCTTTATTAAACTATAAAACAAATCTTAATGTTCCATTAATGTATATTGGATGCTATTAAATGAAATACAGTAAGAAATGGAGCCCCACTGTTAGTGAAATATGATATAAAGCACCTCCAGCATCTGTAGAACAAGCACCTGGACAGAAACTTCCTTCTCAGTCTCACGTCCCAGTATCTGTTCACACTCAAGAACCAGTTACCACAGCAGGAGCACAGGGGCTGTGTCTGGCATTCACACAACGTACCACCAATATGGGATGATTACTGAGAGGAACTATTCTCTAATATTGAAAGGGCTGAGTGAGGGCAAGCTCTAGACAGAGTAGAAATGCACTCTGGAGGTTCCCTGCTTATCATCCCATCTTCCAGCAGAGGCAGATTTGTTATTATTGATGATCATTACAGGCTATTGATGTAAAGGGCTGGCAGCAGGCTCTACGTTGCCATTTCAATGTTCCTGGCTATATCTATTCAATTATCATTATTTGGGGAGGTCAAGTGTAAGCTATGTAAAGTGCACAGGAATTATGGAAATGTTTCTGTGCTGAGTGCTCTGATATAGAGCCCCTCCTGCTGTGTGTCGCTGGCGTGCCTGGGACTGGCAAAGGGAACGGCAAGACAAGATGTGTGATTTGGTGGAGCGTCAGGTAAGCTTCATCATTTTCCCTGAAACCATCAAAGGCAGCAACACTTTAATTGTCAGACTTTAATTTTTTGATCCTACCTTTCCTCCACACCTCCCAGTATGCCAAGCTGTCCATGGGATTTCCAAGAATTCCCACAAGACAAGGAACACCATGGGATAGAGTAGATGAAGGAGGTTGTTAACAGTGATTATTAAAAATTGTGATAAGCACATGGCAATGTCTGGCTAATGCAGGATGTAAGTGGAAAGGGCCTGCACCTGATCTTTCTATCTCTCTGAAAGATTTTTTAAACTCCTTCCCATACTTTTCAAGATCATATTAATGAACCACACGGTGGTTTAGTCTCTTTCCAATCTGCCTGAAGATCTGTGGTTAATATCCTAGTTGGTGTAACTACCTTTAGAGATTTTCTCTATTATCAAATCCATTCACTGTTTGCTCACAGTTTGCATCAGAATTCAGGCCACAGAAATAAAACCAAAGTAGACACATTGAAAACTTACCTTTTCTCACATCTATGGGAATAGAAGCAATGACATCCGGGAAAGACCTCAGGGCACTCTCAACCTACAAATCAAGGTGATAGACAAAGGCCTGTTTCATACAGACAACAGTAGGTAATTACTACAATAAATCACCCAGAATAATTAGTTGTATGGGCTAGCAATCCTTCTCAGCACACACAGATGGGCCCAGTTAAATGTAGACCTTGTTTATGTTGTGCTGTGTGCAACCACAGGACATCTCCTAGGGGCCTTGTGTGACTTGTAAGACAGTTACTGCAAATCTCATCCTTTATGAGCTGCAGTATCAATTTTTAATGAGTCACAGGGGAAGAAAGAAGATTTAATGGAGGCCACATTAAGCGGCTGCCCCAGACCTTTTAAAGGGATCCTGAGGGATAACTTGCTGCAGAGAAGGACACCCAGTGATGAGGTATGTATCCAACAATCTCAGGAGTCTCTGAGTACCTTACAGGACATTTCACTTCCCAGGACCCTACGGAGAATGCATCACAATCCTTCCATGTGCTCATGAGGAATCAGGGCTTGGGGAGGCTGAGCAGTAGACAGCGACCTGCACCCTGACCCTAAGGGATGTCAGAGCCATTCCCCATCCTTGTGCTCTGTGCTGCCATGCCAGGGCAGACAGCACCATCACAAACTTCCTTTTCGTCCTATCTGGAACAATCATAGCAGTGTGTTAACAAGGATCATCCCTAGTTACCAGTGCAACCGGTATTCTGCCACTGACATCCACTGTCCACTCTTTGAACTGAACTGCCAGCGCCTCCTTCCTCATCTCTTTCACCTGAGACTTCATTTTGTCCATCTGCTCCCTTTCCTTACGTTTGTTCTTTGCCTCAGCCTTCATCCTGGCCAGCCTGTAGGACATGGGAATATGGTTTAGAAAGATACCATCATAAACATATTTAAGATAAGATTAAGCCTACCCTGAAGAACAAAAGGAAAGGAAATAACTTCTTACTGAAATTCTTGTCGTTTTAGTACAAGCAGATTTTTCTCCAAAGAAATACTTGATGTTTGGAGCACAAAATGGCTAGTGTGATTATTTGACTAGATATTAGTAATCTGTGTTTCCAGAGGGCAGCTCCAAGGAGGTGAGAGTATTTATATTCTGACATGTATCATCTGAAATGTAGTGTAACTATGAATCTGAAGAAATAACCTCTGAGTGTCAGATACGTGCACGTGGAAAGAGCCTCTTGCAGAGTACACGGCAGACATTTAATGGGAAATCATCTTTACAGCTCTCCTAGTCTGCGTAGTTTCGACAGTGATAAATTTTATCTTCACATTTAAAATGCTCATTAATCATTTTTTTTTTGTAGATGTCCTTCAATTTCCTGTCAATTCCAGCAGGAAAAGAGGTGCCTAATTTTGCTACACTTGATTTACCAACAAAATTGCATCAGTACGCATTTGTCTCAGAGCCCAAGTACCATTTCACACGAGCACTTCAATGACAAAGAACAAAATCCAATGAAATTTCTTAAGCAGTCTCACACAATAAAGTCCTTACTGCCTTAGGATAGGGATAATGCACCAACCTCTCAGTCATTTTGAACACATTGAGTTTGCAAGCCTGGACTAAAAGTACCTCCCTTTCTTTTTCTTCTTTCTGTTTTATTTGCTTCTCTAATCACCCAGACATGTTTTTCCCAATCCTCCATTTCGCAAGACAAAAAACCTGAACAAAATTCATCCTGTAGAACTGATGTGCTTTGGTTTTGACTCTGTTCACTTATAACATGGGGAAAAAAAAAAAAAAAGGCTTTAAGAAGTTCAAAATGCTTAAAGCCAAAGAATCAGTTCGTATGGGGAGAACAGTTCCTGCTCACAGAGGCTGCTAGAATATCTCTGTGTTGAGGCAGCTGCCCTGCTCACCTCTGCAGCCCTCACTTACACCCTGCAGCGCCCGTCAGAGGACGGGGAATTGTTCCTCTTTTGTACCTGAGAACACACTAGTCCAGAAACTATATTTTAACTAATGATTTCTACTCCCTTCCTCCCGTGTTTCACATATTGTGAAGATGGGCTGATCCTGTCCCTACTCTCTTCTGTTGCTACAGGGTCACCCTAGAAATTATAAACCAATTGTATCTTCTTTAATGAACAGAAAGGCCTGTTAACATGTTACCACAACCCACTTTGACCACAGTCAGTTTTATCACTAGGTACTTGTTCTTCATGGCCGTTTATCACAGAGGCTTCCTCATGAATAACTGGGTTCCTTAACCAATCATGGGCATTGCACAAGTACCTGCTGAGGCACTCCAGCCTCTGGCACTTTGATAGCAGGAGAAGGGTAAAATAATTTCCTTTCTTCTGACTCCTCCACAGGCACAGCACAGACCAGATAGGGAGCAGGTACCAAGCTAAACGGACTAACAGGTTTTTCTCCAGTGTGTGCTACAGACAGAAAGAGAAAACCAGCCCATTTCTAGCTGCAGCTCCACCTCAGGAGCAGGCTGCAAGCTGAAAGCAGAGCTAGAGCCATGCTAGGAATTGCCACGGTGCCCTGGTGATTAATTTGGGCAGTGCCCAGCACAAGTTACATTGTGTGCTGCAGTTCTGCATTTCTAGGGTCCTAAAACACCAGGTAGCTGCATCCTCTGCCTGGTGTCCCTAGTGTGGGAGAAAATGTTTTCCCCCTAGACAATAATGACAAATCAGGCTGTAACAGTGCTGGGCACCCATTTCAAAGTGAGCTCATTTCAGTATTAGACATTTCCAGAAGAGATGAGATGCCAGCGAGGGTGACTTCTCCCTACAGAATGAAACATGTTTCTTCAGGAAGACAGCCGCCTCACTCCCACACAAGGATGGTGACTCAGACTGAAGGACTACCATCCCTGGACAAATACAGTCTCTGTTTCAGGTATCTCTCCATTTGGGTAAGGAATTTCTCCCATCTGTTCTCCTGCATGCCTTGACTCCCAGTCAGGTGGCAGCTAAGGAAAGACTGAGGAAGCCTGAGAGAGCTCACTGAGGACTGGAAAGCTTCAGATGAGGTCCTGTGGTGAAATCCTGCCTTTCCTGAAGGTAATGTCACAGCTTCCGGGAGCTTCACTGGGGCCAGAATTTCACTCCTCATCTTTCTGGTGCTTATGTGAGAGATTTTGAGCACAGACTGTTTAGAAAGCCAGTGACTCATGTTATGATTTTCAGTGCTACATGGTGTCAGTAAAATCCTCTGTGCTGCTATGGTTTAAGGATCCAATGCAAATCCCACAATACAGCCATCACAAATACGGAAATCCTGAGCTGCTGGGAATGCAAATCCCCTGATACTACTACCAGCAGATATGCAAAATCTGCTACAGCTACGGCTACATAAACCCCCCTGGCAGTGCTGTCTACAGAGAGATTGATTTCTACAAGTCTTGATAGTCACTTCCTTTGCATCAGCTCTGATAGCTACAAATTGAGAACCTGTCTGCAAATGCAAACGTGAACTTAACAGCCAAGGCCAACATAACATGTCACTGGGAGCCAACACTTTGCATTCTACAGGAAAATCTGACCTCTCCAGAAAAAAGCTCTGATTCACAATGAAAGCTAAGAGTATTTTAGCAGGAACACAAACAAACAAACAACAAAAAAACAAACCCCAAGAAATTTCATGTATTTTAATTCCATTTCTTTTGCAAAATAAACATGAGATACAGTTCTGAACTTCCTGCATCCAAGTGTCCCCTCTGTGAAGCAATATGAGTGGTGAAACAGTCCCCAAAATACAGGTGTGGCAAGGAGGGCTTCCTAAACATCCCCCCAGAATAATCTGTGCTTGAGTGAAAGCTCACTGAAAATGAATTTGTTCGCCCAGATCACCTGTTTCAGTGGACCAGCATTGAAAACAAAATTGAAAATCTTTTACCAGCTCTGCTTGTACTACTGGATGTCTGCTTATGAAGAAAAAACAAAGAGCTGAGCTCTTACACACTGGCCACAGTTATAATTATTTTTATCTGTGGGGAAAAAGAAGGTAGGTGACTGCAGGAAATTCACTTACCACACTGCTTTAATTGTATTTGCACAAGGAACTATAAGAGTATGTGGACTAGAAATGTAGAGAGACAGAAACTCAGAGCAGTAGAGAGAGATTTAACATATTCTTTTATTCATTATAATACTGGAATCTTCAATTATCTTAATTTAGAGTATATGTATAAGACATGTCAACATTCTACTTCCCTAATTCCTGACACTGAAACCCTGAAACCAATTTTCAAGCTGCATGTACTATTTATGCAAATAGAAGAGACAGCCATTCAAATAGAAGTCATTATTCTACAAGCACAGATATAGAATAAAGTGATCTAGTAGTGAATGAGTAATTCTGACATCATTCACAATCACCTTTGGGTCATCTATAAACACAAATGTTCACTTCTATATTTTTCTAAATAGAGCAATGAAAATGAAAGCATTATTGTTCACCTACTGCACTCATATTCTAACCTGGGCATACTGTAAAATGCCATGGAACCCCCTTCCAATATTCATTAAACATTATACTAAAGCAAGCAGCCTCGAAATAAGCAACATAATAAAATACAAACCAGTTTCTACTTTAAAGGGAAAAAAGAATCTGAAAGGAAAGCTTAAGTAAAAACCCCAGGAGAAGGGGTTTCTACAATGTGCCAGGACAATATTGTTGTTGGTTTGGTCAAGAAAAATCATCCTAAAGGAGGGAAAAAAGGTTATCTTTTTAAGTTTGGAAGAATACAGAAGGAATTATCTGAAGAGTCCACAGACCTTTGATACTAACACCTGTCCTAAAGAACTGCTGTCACTAAGCTAGACCGGTTTGAAAGCCGTTTGCATTCCACATATGTAATTAAGATAGAGTCTAAGGAGGAATTATGTACTTGTGAAGGGCAGAATATTGCCTTAAACAGGAATAACTAGTGTTTCATTTTGTGTGACATGTTCTGGCATTTGTCCTGCTTCTCAAGGTTTTATGAGAGACAACTACCATCTCTGGCACTGTACTCCACAAGGTTCATTTTGTTCGACAATTTGCCAGCCAAGCTGCTGTCACACCACTCCTTTTGTAAAAGAGAGACCAAGACAGTTGGTGACCAGCTGTCTGTGAGTGTGACCACACACAATGACCGCCACTATTTCAACTCTCTCACCTCTCTGACGCTGTACCTGGCATCTCAGTTTTTAGCTCCTCTGTGACCATCTTCATTCCTCTCAGGTATGGCCCTGGTTCTGTAGAAATACCATACTGAGGGTTATGTCTCATCAGATATTCTCCAAGAAAATTAATGGGGTTAAATTCAGTTGGTTCTCTGTCTGGTGCAAGCACGTTCTTTCTTTCCACTTCAATTAACAGCTTTTTCATTCCTGAGATTAATGTGGGAAGGAGTTTGTCAAGCAAATAGATGCGAGTATCTAGCGACTCCTTGTCTTCACTGAGCCACTCTTTGGACAGCCAGTCACTGGGCTCTCTCCTCTTTACCTTTTCTTCTTTTGCCTTTTGTGCACGGATCGTCTTCACCCTTGTCTCCTGCAGACTCAGACACCTCTGCTGTACCTTTTCATAAAAACACTTTTTCCACAGAGCATGGTTAATAAGACATGGCAGGTCATCATTCCCCTGATCTCTCTTCATTTCTGTGGCAGTCACATTCTTGTCACCGAGTCTGGGGTATTTTAGACCTGCAGCTTGGGCTGCTGCTTCTGGCTGAGCAGCCATACTTCAATCACTGTGACACAAAACAAAAGCAGCATGTTATACAATGCCAAAAGATGCAGCAGTGTCCTCACAGATGACACAGGAAGAAAGTCTATTGTTAGGAATTAACTAATACTCTTTTTCTATGTTCCTTTTTTATTCTGTTACTGCTGCTTTGTATTCTTAAATAAATACAGCCCTTTTACTTCACAGGTCAGTAAATGATTTATAAAGATTAATTATGTATCACAACAGGCCCTGGAGACACAGCAACTAAGTAAGTGTGTTTCTTTCTTACAGGAGAAGAAACTGAGACACAGAAGAGAAATTATTAATTCCAGGTCACTTAGAGACTCAGAAACCAAGAGGTGAGCAGTGCTCTGAAGTCTTGTCCCCAGTTCTAACCAGTGGGTTCCTCTTACCCCTAGTATAACTTTTTTCTGTTTAGGTCCTGTTCCATGCCTCTAGGAAATCCAGTGGATATGAGACAAAGGAAGCAAGTAATGGAAAATACCAGATGCCTAGGAGCAAGATTTCTCTACATGCTGCCTTCTGCTTCATCTTTTCTGTAGCTGTGAAAATCAGTGAGGAAGTTTGTCCCATAGACTATTTAATTGCAACTTTGGCAACTATTTTTTCCTCTGGACATTTTGTTAAGGTAACAAGGACACAGGTGTATGGGTCAGCAGAGTTCCTACAGAAAGGGAAACTCTATACCATGAACTCTGTAATTAAGTTGTTCACAAGCACTTAATCTTGTTGATTATTCTGTAAAAGACAGACCTACAAAGAGTTGCAGCTAGCTCCCTTTACAATTTTCCAAACAGCACGGTTTTCTTCTCAATATGTTAATTCTGTGAAGTATCAGGAAGAAACTGAGTTGTTCACAAGGCACAATTGGAAAGCTATTGCTGTGTCTCCACACATAACTGTCTGCATCTGTAATGGGACTTACACATCCAGAATGGAGCAGAATGTTGCTTAACTACTTGACTCAAAACAAAAAAAATAACCAGCGTGCTGCAAAATACCCAGCTCAGTGTTAAACAACAGCAAGGGAAGGGTGATAACAGAGAGAGCCTAATGCCTTTCCAAATTAAAGATTAAACTCCACCCTGAACTTGCTGCCACACTCTCCTTTTCAAACTCTTCTTTAAAAGTGCTTTTCACTAAGACCTTTCAGTATCCATAGCAATATGGTTGCTTTTGATATGTTTTGCTCTGCATGTTTAAGCATCTGTAGCTGTTCTGAAGAGAGTTCAGCCTTCCAGGAAATGCATAAATGTGATCTACAGCCCTCCTGGCACACAAATGTAATTACTAATATGTTGACCTTCTGGTTGATAGCCATTGTTTGAGACCAAATACTGCTTGGATAGGTAGGATGCTTCACAAGCACTATATTTCTCTATCTGTTTTCTCAATGGGCTTGTTTGCATAGTCTGGTAATTTGCTTTCAAAGATGATTACCTGCTGGGGAGTGAGATGGATTTATGGATTAAGCTGCCTGCCTGACCCCCACAGAAGTTTGAAGATAGTAGCTGGTTTTGCTACTGAAGGACATGAGCTGTACAGAAGTGCAGATTTATAATGGTAGAAAGGGAAACCTGTCAACCCTGTCAAATTGTTCCTTCCTTAGGTGAGTTTCTTTCCATAAGCTGTAAAACCAGACTCTTTCTGGTTCAAAGCACGGTGTTAACCAAATGTTCTGGTTACATTCCAAATCAGCTGGTTTTGTTGTGCCAAAATAAACTGTTCTTGCAGTTTCAAATACTTATGTTATTTTTTAACATCCTTCATGAAACCACTCTGCAGTTTCTGTGCAGTGTTAAAGTGACAACTGCACCCTGCTTTATGAGGTGGCTGATTCTGAATGATGATAAGTATATTTTCTACGATGCTCTTAATCATTTGTTGGGATGATTTTGAGGATTAGTAAATGTTTATAAAGTATCTCTATGTCTCTGAACAAATCAAAATGAAACGAAACAGAAAAAAACTAAGTGCATCTGTTGAAAGGAAATGGAGAATAGAGAACTATGCCCACTGCTTTAATGCAGGAGAGATAAAGAGGACTAAGAGTGTATGGAAGAACATACAAACAGCACCTAAGTGTTCAAATAAGCAACAAAGGAGTGCCAGAATCAGGCCCTGAAACTTGGAATTTGTCAAGGATTACAGGGACACACCTCCAGTTTGTATAAGACATCATTGGCTCACAAACTTCAATGCTGATTTAAATTAGTTGAGAATTTGGCCCATAATATATAGAGCTCTCAGGGCCTGTCATGTTCCCAAGTGGAGGCTTGATTGTCCAAATAATAGTAAGCATGGTGCACAGAGACAAGCGTTAGAAACACCCAGGAAATTTGAAATGTGATATAAAGTTTCCTGTAAGCCTTTGTTCAAGCTGAAGGCAAGATAAGCTTTTCATTATTTAGTAGGATGCCACTTTCCTGGCTCCTTTTCTGAGAGAGAAATATTCTTGCTGGAATCCCTGCAGGTACAAAAAGATTATCTCTCACTTTTCTGTACAAAACCCAAATCTGCTCATAAATAAGATTTTTATGGTTTTATTGTTATTCTGTTAGAGGATTTGCATGGGTGGGACAGGGCCAGGAAAGACTAAAGTTTGTCTAGGTGAGACAAACTTTGGAGATCTTTGAGTTAACAAATGTCTTTTCAAAAATTGAGTCCAATCTCTTTGCCGCTCTATTGCTCAGAAACAGTTTTGCCCTTCCCTAATGCGCTTCATAGAGCATGTTTATCTCATCAGTCACAAAGAGCCCAAGACCCTTTTCATACATGATCATCTTTTCAATGCAATGAAAATTTAAAAATACTTTTTCTTTTGCTTACTGAAGCTTTGAAGAACTGTTTTCCTTACCTTCGGAGCAGGTATCAAAATAGATCTTATTCCTCCTGCTTTCAAAGTGGTTTTGCAAATGAACAGGAATTTAATATATGCCCATCTGTTCTCAACCATTAAAAACCTTAATGTGAACTAGGGATTTCTCAGACCTGCTGTGGAGCCGGGCTGTGAGTTTTACTCCTCTGTGTGTTTGCAGTTGCTAAGCAATAATCCCAAAGGTTGCTATGTCTCTTCCACGACTCAGAATTGCTGTAGGTTGTCTTTTGGCTTTGGCAGACCAACAGACTTCTCTGTACTCAACTTAGATGATTGCATCGCGTGACTGAAAATAAAATAAGAAAGACTATGAATAGCAACAGACAACATTGAGGGCACAAATAGTCAGAGATAGAGCCCACAGGTGCCCAGTGATAGAAGTTTTACCTTCAGATTCAAGGTTCATGAAGTCCAGGACTGTCACTGAGTCCATTCCATGCTGAGCTGAGGACTGTATTAACCAGATGTGAGAATCTGAGATAAAAAGAAATTAATTACAAACTCAATTTAAACATTTCCAGGCTCTCTTTTTTGTAAAGAACTGTGTCACTTTGAAGCAGCCTTTCAGGAAAGGCACGTACAGCACTAATAAGGGGGGAGCTGACAGTGCCATTTTGTTAGAACTGCCTTTAAACCTGAATCTAAAGGAATCTGATGAATCACCTTTAATAATTTCTCCTATATTCATGAAGAATGATATGGAACACAGGGAAAGGAGAAGGGAAAAGACAAACACATCTGCAAAAGCCATTCTGCACTCATCTATATCAATGTAAATCAGGTGTCTGTTCAGTGCTTTCCTTGGTGTTATGCAGGACTTCCAACTGAGACATTTATGGCAATTTCTGCCAGGAAACAAGGTTTATCTAATGCTGTTGTTTTACTGTATTTTGCACTGGAAGAGGCATGATCTTTGGATTGTCTACCTGCCTGGAAACTGAACTGTGACTTCATCTACGGTGTTTGTCAGCAGCACGTACCCTACCCTCTAGCAGATCATTAGTCTCCATTTTATGGGACAGCTGAGCTTGTTACAAAACTTGAAATAGAGGAGGTTTAATACAAAGAAGAGAATTTTTCCAAAATCTGATACAGTTACTGTCAGAGTCACATTTGTTCACTAGTTTAGGAATTGTGAGGTTTTAATTGTGGATTCAAAAATGTCATTTTTTGTCATGTTCATCAAATCACTTTGTTATTCATTACAGCACCCACAACACCAAGGTAAATAATAATTAATCTGTAAACCTCTGGAATTGGAGATGGCTCTCAGTGACATGCATCCAGAGTCCCAACATAAACCCAGTGCAACATTTATGCTGCCCTTAAAAAAATGTTTAATTTTGCTCCTAAGAGCTGCCATAGAAGTTAGAAAGTGTGTGTGCTGTGAACAGGTTCTTTACAAGGAGGAAATTTGCTCAGAAATGGCAATAACAATTGTACTTTAATGGACAGTCAAAAGCCTCAGTTTTAATGTAAGGCCCCACCTGGAATACTGTGTCCAGTTCTGGAGCCCCCAACATAAGAAAGACATGGACCAGTTAGAACAAGTCCAGAGAAGGGCCACCAGGATGATCCGAGGGCTGGAGCACCTTTCCTATGAAGACAGGCTGAGAGAGTTGGGGCTGTTCAGCCTGAAAAAGAGAAGGCTCCGGGGAGATCTTACAGCGGCCTCCCTGTACCTGAAGGGGCTACAAGAAAGCTGGGGAGGGACTTTTCATAAGGGCAGTTAATGACAAAACCAGGGGAAATGGGTTTAAGCTGAAAGAGGGGAGGTTTAGATTAGATATTAGGAAGAAGTTCTTCACTGTGAGGGTGGTCAGACACTGGAACAGGTTGCCCAAGGAGTTGTGGATGCCCCCTCCCTGGAAGTGTTGAAGGCCAGGCTGGATGAGGCTTTGAGCAACCTGGTCTAGTGGAAGGTGTCCCTGCTGCTGGCAGGGGGGTTGGAACTGGGTGATCTTTAAGGTCCCTTCCAACCCAAACCAGTCTATGATTCTAATTTTATTTTTATACCATCTTTTCTGGAAAGGAGGATGCCATAGAAATTCCTGGTGTTTGTACCTGGCAACATTTATTTTCCTCTATGTCCTCCTGTACATACTTCAGAAAA